TGAAAACATGAAATCAATTCAAGGTGCATTAGCTTTTAGAAAGGGTTTATTATTATACCAAAAAACTTATACTCTATTAATCTCCAAGATTAATGTAAGCAAAAAAAAAAGATTCACGTACGCAAGTGTCCTAATTTGGCCAAACATAAACAGAGTTTTATTTTACTTATTAAGGAAATCATTATTTAATTTTGTTTGGATGAAAATTATTACCAATTTCACTCAGCAGCATATTTATACATACAACATAATTCTAAGAATGTCAAAGAAAATGTTATATAGGTATTAAATTCTAGACCCGTATCCACTACATTCATTTATACATAGTCGACAATGAGACTATGCATGTATTTAATAGCGTCTTTTTTCTTTTATGTAATAGTATGATTTACTAACCTGTAAATGACTTTTGATTTGATCACTGGTTAACCCATCAACTTTCATGAGCTCTTTAATATGTTTCGGCGTAGCTATATCAAAATTCCATCAACCAAACAATGATACGAGTTAATCAAAACTCCGTGAACCCTATAATAACAAAATATTGGTTATGAAATCGTAATTAAAATCAAGAAATGCACCATTATTAGGGCCACCAAGTTGTTTAAGAGCATTCACAAAGCGTTGGTGTAACTCCTGCGGCCAACTCCGCTTTTGCTTTCTCCGCCCTTTGCCGCGGTGGCCGCGGGCGGCTTTGTCCGCCTCCTTCTTATGTCCTCCGCCACCGCTAGTAGTCGCCGGAGATTTTATGTTATCATTTTCTCTGTTGCTCGTTTCATAACATGGTAGTTGATGACGAGACGCTGATCCATCGTTTCCTTTGATGATCTCCTCTTGTGAGCAATCCTCAAAACATGAAACGTTATAAACTTCAGATTTTAACTTTACAAATTAATATAGACATATATTTTTTGTTTGTGTTTGCGTTTACTATGTATTGTTTCCAAAACAGCCTATAATCTTAAATAAATTTTATTGACCAAACGCATAGCTTTTTGTTAGCATTTGCCTTTTTGTCTGTACTTTATAAAAAAATACACTAAAAAAACTGAATGTGTTCTACGTGAATTATAATTTTTCATGTAAACATATACGCCAAAACTGCGTTTCAAATAATCAAACGCACAGAGTTTCTTAAACCAAATTCGTAAATAAATATTTTTGTTTGCTTTTTAAAACTTAAAATACTATATTTATTTTATTTTCAAAATACATGAAAAGTCAATTTATTTATTAAACAGTTTTACAAACTGCAAGTGCAAATAAACAATATATATGAACATTACAACCTTAATTAGAATCTTACCAAATTATTAGAAAGAACTGCGCCAGGTTGGTTCCAGAGCTGAACAGACTTAAGCCATTCAGATTTCATGTTTTTGTCATCAAAGCATGTGAGGGTTTCATGAGATTTGTGTTCATCATCATCATCATTAACTTTGTCTTCCTCGTCTACGGAGGTCAAAGAGTGTTTGATGGGTATGAACAGATCCAAGACGGACCTACATTCTCGTGTGGTCTCCTCCGAGCACTCTGATTTTTTGTACAAGTTCTTCGTAGTCGTCTCTGATATCTCCTTCTTATATGCCTGAATTGCTAAATTCCCCAATCCATAAATAATTTAAATCCTTAATTATATCTAATATTAATCGATCCAGCATAATATAGATCTCAACAAAAGTTTTAATAAAATAATGTTAATTGCATATGCGTATATATGTATAGATTTATACCTTGAGTGACGAGCTCTAAGCAAAGAGGAAGCTCGCGATGGAAGACATTGATATTGCGGCGTTCTTCTTCAAGAGCTTCGATGTATTCACAACATCTTTCACGTATCTCGTTGTAATTCTTCATATTGCTTAAGTTCTTAATCATGGTGATTTTCACTAAATGAGATGTAAATATGT